ACGCGGCGGGCGGGGTGGGGGGAGAGGGGCTAGGGACGGAACCAACGAGGCCGTGCGGCGGGGGGGGGGCAGCGAAGGGGATGAGCGGAACCAAGTGTCCCCGCGGCGGGGGGCGCCGCCGCTGCCGGGCGCGGGGCTCGGTGCCCGGGGCTGGGGCGGCCCCGGGAGCTGCGGGGTCCCTGGCACCGACACGGGGCCGGGGGCTGCCCGTGTGAGACCTGCCTTGGGGGCCGGGGTCCCAGCGAGCCCCTGGCCCGGCGGCGTTCCCGCTGCTCCCGTGCATCCCTCTGGCACGGCGGCATTCCCGCTGCTCCGGTGCATCCCTCTTGCACGGCGCTGCTCCGGTGCATCCCTCTTGCACGGCGCTGCTCCCGTGCATCCCTCTGGCACGGCGGCATCCCCGCTCCTCCCGTGCATCCCTCTGGCTCAGCAGGCAGCTCGAGGGAAAGCGCCGCAGACATGACACAGGAGGGATGCCAGGCAGCCGCAACCCGCCTGCCCGCGGGCAGGGAACCGGCAGCACCGGAATGCCTTCCGAGGTGCCTAGGGAGAAATGCCTTCACATGTGTCTGAGGTGAAATGCCTTCACATGTGTTTAAGGACGATGTGTTTAAGGTGAAATGCCTTCACATGTATTTAAGGACAATGTGTTTAAGGTGAAATGCCTTCACATGTATTTAGGGACAGGGGACAAACAGGCTATGGCACCTCCTTTCGCTGCGTGCTTCCACCAAGGAGACTAGCGCAGCCCAGCAGGGATTTAGCGGCTGTTGTTGCTCCTTTCCCTTCTCCTGCTGCTTGAGGCTCTGATGGAGCAGCAGGGCTCCGGGCAAGGTTRTCCCATAGCGGAGCAGCCCATAAGCTAAGGCCCGGAGCAGGGATGGGGCGCAGAGGAGGCCTGCAGAGCACGATGTCTATGGCRGGGGCTCGCGGCAGCTGTGCGAGAGAGGCTCTCTCAGGACAGTTCGCCGGGAGGCAGCGTCCGGAATCACAGCTCCTTTTCCTTGTGATGTGCCCCATTCCCTCAGAAACACCCYGCCAGCTGCCTTGGGAAGGCTATGTGTAGAGTCAGTCCTTGGGCACATCGCGGTCTGTCGCTGGGGAAATCCTCATGGACATTTAACCACTCTGTGGGGCCAGGTGGAGACGGGAGGAAGAGGGGAAGAGCGGAGAAATCCACCTTAAAGGCCCACAAAGAGCTGCCTCCTCCTGAAGGAAGAGGGGCCAAGCGTGGTGTGTGCCACCCAAAGGCAGGCAAAAGCTGGACACCGCACAGCTTTGGTACTGCCTACACCAATGTTTTTCCTGGATATGCCACCACCTCCCCCAGCATCCTCACCTGCTCACTGCTGATAGTGCCCTTCGGTTCTTGTGTGGAAATGAGTCTGTTATTCCAGCCTTGGAACCTGGGCTGGTCAGTGCCTTTCAGTTTGGGCCCAAGCTGCCCTATTTATCCTGCTCAACACACATGTGCTCTGTCCATTGCCTCTCCTAGCCATTCCATAGCCTTACTCACCCGCTGCCCCTCTTCCCTGTTATTACTCATTCACTAGCATCTCATCTGCATGGTAAGTAATTGAGTCAAGCCAAGGGGAAATTTTGCACAACTGCAAAAAATCCCAGTAATATTTGGATGATATTTCCAAACTTCCTACGCTTATGAAGCCTTCAGAGTTGCACCCAGTTAGTTGAAGGCTCACGGTGCTGCTGACTCTGCCCAAATGACCTCTTCTCTTAGGCAGTGAAAGATGTGCTGACCAGGACCCTGCTTCCATGACCTTGGGAATATTGTGTGAAAACGGCTGCTGGGCGCCCAGCAAGTGCCTTCCGCTCCATGCCATGCGTCAGCCCGGGATATTTCAAGAAAGCCTTCAATACTCGTGCCCCCATAAATTCTCCAAATCCTCCCTGTGCCGGAGTCAGATAACAAGCAGGAGGACAATGGCTCCAAGAATCCAGGCTGCCCATCTGCTCAGCACTTCCAGATTCTTGCTTCCCTAGCGCCAGCTGATGAAATTTTCATAGCCGATGAGGTTTCTCATTTCCTCGGGGCCTTGCTGCCTCGGAGCCTTCGCAGTTGTGCTCTGTTCAGGTTTCCGTGGGCACGCGCTGGTGGCAGCAACCACCAGAGTCCTCCTTTGCTTCCTTCTCCTGACCTGTCCGGGCAGGATCTTCAAGCATTTTCCTGAGCTCTGCAAAAAGGAGAGAGCCCAACTTCTAGATGGTTTCAGCACTTACAGCTTTAATAAAGTCATCACTTCCCAAATCCCAAGGTCAAATAGCAAAAGAACAGCAGAAACTGAACTCGAGATGCCTGACCACCAGTCACTGCTCTGAGCACTGAAAAGCTTTCCTCAGATCCAGGAGTTCCCGACTCTCGGTTCCTCTCTCCCTCTCTTTTCACATCCATCCATCCTACCTTTTACTGTTCCCGCTATGCTTGTGAGCTGGATTCCCCACTGCTCTGTGCCCAGAGAGGTGACATGGTGCAGAACCATGACGTTACCTTATACAACGTTCATTTATATAACGCCATTAATACCAAAGCACAGCTCTCTCCTAGAGCCAGTTGCTCACTGAAGCCTCTGAAGTTCAATTAACAAACACCAGGTAATCTAACACTTGACTCTTAAATAATCCCTTTATTTTAAGAGGCCTCTGGCGGATGCTAAAGCCCTCCACAAACCATCCTGGAAGTACATTTGAGATTCTCTCAAACACCAGCTGAATTTATGACCCTTAGCGAAGAGCAGGGAGGAATGAATCTCTTCAAAATACTTTCCAACCGGCAGCACTTTATATAGACCCCTGTAACTGTATAAAAGGAACCCCTGGAGGGGCAGGTGCCACCCCATGGAGGGACAAATCCCTCCATTTAGTAAGGCGCCGACAGCCTTGGCTGCCAATGGAGCAGACACCAGGAGTAGTGTCTCCCCACCAGAAGAAGGCAGTGCAGGCTCGGTCCTCTCTGTTCCCAACCAGCTGGGGAGAGAGAGGCGAGGTGCCACTCTCGGAGAGCTGCTTGGAGACCTGAGAGCTGCACAAGGTCCCCTTCCCTCCTGTGAGGATGCTGAGGTCATGAAGGGACTCTTGGGAAGCCCTCAGAGGCAGAAGAGGCTACRTGAATCAGTTGAACCCACCAAGACCAGAAGAAAACCCAACACGTATGTGAGCAGAGCCTGCGCTCTGGAATACGTCCATGCAACAGGAGCCTGGCTCCCAAACACAATAGCACCTCAGGAATGATAAGAGCCCAGCCCAGCCAGCCTGGGACAGCCAAACATGTCTGTGGATGCAGAGCTGGAGAGCCAAGCACGTCCTGCCAACGCGCCTAGCAGTAGGCACAACCCACCGGAGGAAGAGCTGCTAGCGACACCCGAGCGCGCACCTCAGTCCCTCCCCGTGCCCGAGAGCCACGGCTGGGCCTGGCGCTAGCGCGAAGGTGAAACCCTCGAGGAGGACCTGGCCTCCTGCCTGCAGGCAATCACTTTGCTGACAGGATCCCCAGCAGCAAGGGCTGAAGAACAGAGCTACGCTGGCCCGTCCCAACCCAAAATGTGGCTGTCTTAGGGCACTGCCTACAGGCACCCAGTGCCACTGGGATACTGGAGCATCTCTTGTATGAGGAAAGATTAAGTGAGCTGGGCCTGTTTAGCCTGGAGAAAAGAAGGTTGAAAGGGGATCTGATTAATACRTATAAATACCTGAAGGGTGAATGTAGGTAGGAAGAGGCCAAATTCTTCCCAGTRGTGGCCAGTGATAGGACAAGGGGCAGTGGGTATAAGTTGAAACATAGGCAGTTCCMTCTGCAGGTGAGGGAGAACTTCTTTACTGTGAGGGTGACAGAGCAGTGGAACAGGCTGCCCAGGGAGGTGGTGGAGTCTCCTTCTCTGGAGATCTTCAAAACCCGCCTGGATGCCACCCTGTGCCCYGTGCTCTGGGTGTCC